AGGCTCTGTTTTTGAGAATCTGGAATGAGATTCTTAGCTTTGGTTTGTAGAATCCTAAATTGAAAGATTTCCTGGTGCATTTATTTTGAGCAGCTGGTAATCTTTCTAGTATCAAAGTCTACTTCTAAATTAAATTTTAGACATTGGTGGAAAATTGAGAATGTCGAATATGAGTTCTCCCTACCTTGCCTAGTCTGTCTGGACCGGCTCTCCTTCCTACTCACTTTAAGAGGCCCCAGAAAGGCCCAATTTTCTCATTACTGCATGATACAGGAAACCCCAGCCCCTATCATGCTGACAACTTCAGAAACTCTTAGAAATCTCAGCTAAAATTAACTTCTTCAAGTTTTCAGCACAACTTGATCTGACATGTATTCCTTTGTTTTGGACTTCTAGAGCGTGGAGTAGGAGGGAAGGGAGGAGTAACTCTTCTCCTCCTAAATCCCTTTTCCTTTGCATCTTCCCAGAAGGCTGGGGAACAGAATGAGGAAAGAGGTCAAAGAAGAGGGGAGGGTGGGCAGAGGAGACTCAGGTGAGATGAAACACTGAGGAGAGGGAGGAAGAGGAGGAGGGAGAGGGGAACATAGGCTGTGGCAGGGGCTAAGAACCCATGGAAGTGCAGGAGCCCTCCACCTCAGACCCCTGACTCCCTGAGCCTGAGCGTGGCCCCAGCCCCTCAGGGAAGCTGTGCATGAGTGTGTACAAGCCGTAAACGCTTCCTTGGACAATCCAACTTCAATATGCTATTCGAGAACTTCGTTCAGCTTTTGTGTGATCAGGAATCCTGTCTCTCTATTCCCACATCCCTTTTTGGCTACCTGGGAGTTCCCATGCCCGTGTGCAGCCAGGATGCCCACAGCCAGGCTGTTCACTACAAGTCCAGCTCCTCTGGGAGGATCCAAGGAGCTGCCTGAAGGGCCCAGCTGGGGAGCCACTGCTGAAATCAGACACACTGGACTGAGTGGCCACAGAGGGACTGGAGAAAGGCATGGATGGGTTCCTGAGTCAGAAGCCCGGATTTGAAGTCCAGCTGCCCCTAGAACGTGTGTAACCTTGGACCAATGACTTAGCCATTAGTTTCCTCAGTGTCCCTGATTAACATGCAGAGATGATAACACCTGCTTGGGAAGGGCATGGTGAGGATTAAATAAATTGACACATGTAAAAAGCACATGGAGAGGCTGGAGTTGTGGCTCAGCGGTAGAGTGCCTGCCTGGCATGTGTGAGGCCCTGGGTTCAATCCTCATGTAAATAAATAAAAGATCCATTGACAACTAAAAAACTATTGAAAAAAAAAAAGCACACGGGACAGTTCTTGGCCACAGTGTGTGTCATCTTGAGCACTGGGTAACGTTACCTTACCATCTACAGATGGCAGAGTCACAGAACTGCATGCTAATAGTCAGTCCTCAGCATCACTGACACGGGGTTAATCCGTGGATAGGAACATGCTACAGGGATGAGAAGCTGAGCCTGATACCTCCTTTCACAGATGAGAAGGGAAGGACTCAGAGAGCGGTAGGGGCCTGAGCAGTGCTGCAGGGGAGGGGCTGTGCAGTATGAAAATGGCCTCTGAATGCCCTGCCATACTCTTGGTTTCACTGAGCCAATATGCCAACAAGCCTTTCTCCCGTGCTCAGTTTGCCACTGAGTAATTTCAGGGGTTTGTTGACTTTGGTTTTTGAGATGATCTGGTTAATCAGGGGAAGCAGTTTCAATATAAGGTGGCCACAGTTTAACAGTTACCATTAAATTGTTATATATGTGACTGTTCATATGTTCCTGTAGATGGATTTTTGGACCATGAACATAGTGTAGAATAATCTCAAGACAACATTCATCTTCCCTCCTTTGGAGGTGGGAGGAGTCCTGGCAAAGCACAGAAGGTGGTTATAGTCTGATGACATAATCAATCACTGAAGCAGGGAGTCCCTTCTTTATTTGTACCACACACGTTTTGAAGGTTCCCTGCGTCAGGGCAGTGTCAGAGTAGAATCAGGGCTGCACCTGCAGGAATCTAGATGGGTGGTAGAAGCTGAAGGGGCTGCTTTCAACCACTTAGCTATGGCATTTTTTTTTCCTCTCATTTTGAGTCCCACAGGTATTCAATTGGAAGATGTTTGTTTGCACAGGAAACAGGATCACTAAATAATTATAAGATAACTCCTTTAACACTGACCTTGATAGAACCGAGAAAAGGAAACTTTCAGCAGTTAAAATGATCCTTTTAAACGGTAAACAAAAATCACTTCAGTTCTTGGCTGAAGATATTGTGCTGGTTCCCAATTTCATTTGGACTTGAAGAAGGTCCAATATTTACCAATAGCTACAAGACCCTCCACAGCTCAGCTTTCGTGGTTTAGCCTCCGAGTCCTCTGAGCGCCTCCCCCGCACTTACTCAGTAGGCTCCAACCAGAGTGTTCTGCCTGCACCTTGATCATGCAGCATGTCCTCACCTTAGGGCATGAGTACAGGTGGTCCCCTCTGTCCATTTGTCCATGTGGCTAACTCTTAACCCCTGCAAGTCTTTGTCTGGATCTCATCTTTCACTTTCTCTTTTCTCCCTAACGTGGATCACTTCTTAACTATCTGATTTGTTTGTTTGTTACGTTTATTGTTCACTATTTTCCTCCTCATGAGACCTTGAGTGCCAGGAAGGCAGAGAGCTTTGTCTGTTTTGTTCTCAGATGAGTCCCCAGTGTCCAGCACACCCAGGTACCCAATGAATATTTGTTAATGAATAAGCCACTTGCTAGGGTGCTGGTAGGATAGCAACCACAAATGAGGCTTTGTTGGAGAAACAAATGGCCTTCCACGTAGAACCTCTTTCTCTTTTTATAGAAGAGCTTGCATCTTTCTCTTGCTGTCAGAGCACCTCCCTCTTTTGCCCCACATGTGGTTTGGTGGCTCTCTTTTGGACATGCAGCCAGGTTGAGGTGCAAAGCCCCTTGTCTTAGCTCCTTGGCAGGCTGTGAGCTGAGTTCTTCTCTCTGTGCCTGCTCAGGAAGGGGGTGTGGGGCTCACAGCACTGGACACTCATCCATCACCGCTCTCTTCTGCACTAGGGCTCTTGTATCTGGGGCCCTAAAGCTGGGGGCCTAAGTGAGGTTCATTCTAGAGAATTTCCAGCACCCTAAAGATGTGGGCTGAGGATCCTGGGCTTTGGCCTTCCGACTCTCCCACGCCCAGCACCTCTGCCACAGGTGGGTGGGGGGTGAAACCAAGTCAGTTGGCAGCTTGCTCTCTGGAGCTTTGGTGAGAGATGGTGAAAACCCAGGGATGAAACTCAGGTGGAGAAGCACTTTGGGATTTCATTTATCCCTGTGATCTCTATCCCCATTACCACTCATCAATGAGAGGGCTATAAAACAGGACCCCCAAGAGACAAGAAAAGGAATCAGGTATTTCATCAAAAAGGGGGAAGCCCTTTCTTTCCTTTTTATTTTTTTGGTCTTGCCCACCAACTCTAGTATCCATGATCTCATCTCTAAAGACCTGAGATTTTAATAGACCATAATTACTTAATTATTCTAGCTCTGCCGTTTGTTCTCAGCTTTAAGTGCCAGATAAACACGTTGTTTATTAAGGAGATAGTCTAAATTTGTAGAAAAACCAAAACAATTTGAGAATTTCTTCATGATAATTCCTGTCTCATAATTAATATCATATAAAAAGAGGAAAAAGTATTGAAAATGGTTTCCTTTACAAGGTCTATTTAGAAACACAAAGCTTTAAGATTTCAATCAGAGTTTTTGTGTTTGTAACTTTAAATCACTGTGGGGACATGCCAGCAATCCTCAGCCAGCACATAGCCTGCTAGGGAGCCTTCACACACCTTGAACCCTTCCAGGGTTGCAGACTACTTTTGATCATCGTGGGAACTCTATTTTTGCTGAAGCTGTGGGTGGAAATTCATTGTCCATGTATCTCAGGCAAAATTGGAGCAGCTGGGCTGAGGGAGTACTGAGGACAGGGGAGGCTTATGACAGAGAAGAGAGCAAGAGCCAGCATGAGACAAAACTTAGATGGACGAGAAGTTAAAAGGCCCAGCGAAATGTCAATCGGCACCCCCCCAAAAAAGGGCATGTTTATGGGAAAGTGGGGAACTCTGCTGTTATGGTACAGATCTGGAAGACCTCGCAAAGGCTCGGACAACCTGTTGAAAGTTCTGTCCCCAGTGCAGCAGTGTTCCCAGGAGGGACTCCTGGGAAGTGAATGAACCGGAGGACTATGATCTCACGAGTGGATTTATAATTTGAAGTCCTTATTGGGAGCTGAAGGAGGTGGGACCTAATGGAAGGAGTGGGTCCTTGAGCGACATGCCCACTCCTACATCTTTCCCAGTCTCTTCTCACTCTCTCTGCTTCTCAGCTTTGCTCTGCCACACCTTTCCACCATGGTGTTTTGCCTTGCCCCAGGCCCAAAGCAAAGGAACCAGCCAACCAGGGGCTGAGACCATGAGCCAAAATAAATTTTTATTCCTTTAAGTCACTCATTTCAGGTATTTTGGTCACAGAAAGGTTAGCTGACTAACACATCTGCCTCATGGATACACATTAAACTCAGGCTGGTGGCCAGGCAGAGTAGGCCAAGCCAACAGACGGCCACATCCTCTCCCATGTGCCACAAAAAAAAAAAAAACCCTTAAATTGAAGTATGACAAGAAGATAGAGAACTGACCCTCTAATATTTTCCTAATAAGACATATTAACGTAGGAGAAAATTATGAGCAGAAATGGATCTTAAACCTTGTAACAGATCTTAAGGTTGGAATGTAATTTAGGAACTTCAGATTAAAAAAAAAATGTCAGTAGATATAAAATTAAAATACAAAAACTAAAAACAAAACAAAGACAAGACACTGGATATAAAAAAAAAAAACCCCAGAAAATATGCCCACACAGCAAATTCAAAGAAAGAATGAATATGCCTTTGGATTAAAAGAAGAAAGCAAAGAATGAACAAGTAAAAAAACTAATTTCAATTACAGTGATACATACCTTGTAAGTCTTTCATATTTTGGTCTAAAAGCTGTGAAGGAAGGAATCCAGAGCCTGTCTGAGGCTTGGAGTCTGGCTCTCCCAGGGACCCCGATGGTGCTGGGTCCTTCAGCCTATTGTCTCCAAACACAGCGGCCCACTCCTGGCTGAACTCGCCTTCTTCCAGGGAGGATGCGTTGAAGATCTCGTTCAGCAGCAGCAAGTCATCCTTGTCAGCACCTTCGGGTTCTGGGGTCCCTGCCATTGGGCCCAGGCAAGCTGGAGTAGAGCATAACACACGTGACTTCCCAGGGCTCAGCCTCAGAAATAACTGTTACAGGGGCTGAATTGGGACAGATTGGGTTAAGGCTAGATTTAAGAAAAAAGTGAATTACAATATGAATTTATTCCATAATAACCTTTCTTAACACATTTTATAATTAAACGTTGAATTCCATGTTCCCTTATACTCCTTCCTCCAGAGCAAGCCCAGGTTCTGAGTATCAATAGAATTGCATTGAAATATTTTCCAGGAAAACCCTAGGGTTTTGTTTTATCTTTAACATAAAAGCAGATGTACCAAAACATTTCTCAGATCTGAAACACAGCCAGGACTGAAAGCCTGTTGGAGATCCTGGTTCCTTGTTTGTGAAGCTTCCTGAACCTTCCCACACAAGCCCTCAATGCACACTGCCTGGGCTGGAGCAGCCAACATACCATGTGGCAGCCTGTCCTGCCACCCAAGCTGGGGAGAGAATTTCACCACACCCTGGCCCAGGGGAGAGTGCCAGAAGCCCCACAATGCCCAAGAAAAGCATCTTTGCTTGTTTGCTGAAACACAACTGCTGGAAGCAAAGAAGATTGGGTCTGATTAGTTTGGGGGCCATAGTGAGGGAGAAATAAGAGAAAGTGGACAAATGAAAGACTGACCCAAAGGCTGGGATTTAAGGCCAGGGACACAGTTCTGGAGGGTGGAAATGAACACCAGACACAACAGGAGCTCAACTCCACACCTTTCTTACTGTGTGACTTAGCAAGATCCATAACCCCTCTGAGCCTTTGTCTTTTTATCTCTAAAAGTTACGATATTAGTGATGCCCACCTCAGAGTGTGGTCAGTGTGAGTGAAAGAATACACCACCTCACAACTCATTGCCTGTGTGGAAGGAAAACTTTAAAGAAGACTGTTCACAGATGAACACTGGCAAACAGTAGTCAATACATGTAGAATGGTGTGTGGGGGGGTATTAATATCAGAAATCCTATAGCAACCCTCTCATAGAGTTTTCTACATATTTTGTAAACTGATAGTTTGATTAAGTGTGGTTTTGTTGTGGTATCTAATTGCCACCTGGAAACTAAACCTTTTGGTTGTTAAGTCATAAGGTGGAGGAGAAAAAAAAATCATGACATTTTTTCTGAGCTACACTGGAATTCTGATACAGTCATATAAAGTGAAAGTATCAAGTTTTCCTCAAATATATATGAGATAATTTTTAAGTAGAGGCTTTTTCTTTTCTTTTTTTTCTTTTCCATTTTCTTGAAGCTTCCCTGTGTAGGCTTTACTGGATCTATTTTCTCCCCCACACTTTACATAAAGATCTAAAGATTAAGGGGATTTTTGATGTGAACAGACTGGCTATAAATCAGGGAGGGGAGAAGTCTAGTCACTCATATCACTGTGGTTTTAAAATAGTGGCAAAACATCACTTTAATCAGACATCTGTCTAATTTAAGCATTTTTATTGTTTGTATTATCAAAGAAATGTTCACCAAGACAGAACCTATAGGTGTGGTGGGTGGGAAGATGTGGAGGTGGCACCTTAAACAGACTTCTGAGACAGTGCTGTAGGAATGGGGGCACACAGGGACCAGCCAGGGAAGGCAGCGCTGGCGGGGTGAGGTGGGCAGCCCACCTCTGTGTGGGACAGAGACTTGCTGTTCAGCTGCCATCAACACTCACATCCTCTTTCAATGTCTCTCAGTAATACCCTTCTAATTTATGTGGAGTTTTCAAATCTCTGTACTTCCTACTTTCAGGTGGGACTGGAATGCCCAAATCTTTCTCATGGTTTACTTTCTGATCTGACTGAAACCTGACGATTACTGAGCCACACTCATTTAATTGGAACCAAGTTCAAGTCAATGGGCAGGCCCGAGAGGAACAGAGGACTTTAAATGAGCTTCAGAAGTGAAGTGTTTGCCTTCCACAGTCATTTTACTCAGGCCTCTGCTGGGTCAAGCCCCAGGGAGGCTTCTCTGCTGCAATCCAGAGGCCCAGCAGGGAAGACCACTGCTGACATGCCAACGACAAGCAAGACATTCTGTGCCCTCTAAAAAGAACCACAGGCTGTGAAGGCTCTGTTTTCACTTTTATTGTTTAGGTTTTGTGTGGTGGTGTTTAGTGTGGACTTGAGTGTCTTTGCTAACTTAGCGTCTCTTCCTTCTTCTTCAGTTTTTCTTTTTGAATGCCATGAGCATGTGATCCTGGTGAGGCATTTCTTAGGATGCCTCATCGTCCTCCACCCAGGTAGATATGTTGTAGCCAAGGCATTGCTCAGGCCACTGTGACTGGCTCAGGGCACATGCCAGGAGGCTTCCCTGAGTTTGGCATATGGGAATTGGATGGAGGAGGGTTTGTCTCTCTTGCTCTGGGATTCCAGAATTCAAAGATGCAGACTTGAGGCTTCTGATAGTAGTAAAGCCAATACAGAGAAGGAAACAACCTAAAGAGTTGGGAAGAGAAACTTGACGGCTTTAGGCCCTGGATCCAGTCTTACTTGAAGACAATCTACTACTATGGGTCCCCAGTTACACAAACTAATATATTATTTTTTTAAAGAAAAATTCTAAACCTAACCTATTTCAAGAAGGGTTTCTATTCTTGCAACCAAACAATTCCTGATTAATACTCTGTCTTATCCAACTCAAACATTTTAGTCACAGAAATGAGGAAAAGGCCCCCTTTGTCAGGATGACACCACTAGTGGCCAGTCCTGGAATTGCCCTATTATATAGTATCCTGGCTCTTGGATAGTTAAAGAAGGCTGCACAGTGAACATTTTCTCTTTTAAGAGAACTTATTACTTAGCTGAAAGCAATGAAACTGGCACTGACTTGAACCATAAAACATGGAAACCTCCCAATTATTGCACTGATAATTAAGATGCCTGAAATTGCTACATATAACTTGTAAGAAAAACTTAATTACAAGTAGAAAAGGACAGGTTTAGGTCTGTAACTGGACAAGTCAAGACTTGAGAAATAACATTAGTCATTAGGCTATCATGCTATCATTTTCTTTGAAATTAATTCAACTCAACTGAGAGAAAATGAAGACACACGTAGAGATACGATAAGCTCTCTGAGAGAAGCCCTGGTGAGAGCCACACAACTGGGGTCAGCGCTTCCACCCATGGAGACAAGCAGGGATTGCTCCTGGGTTGTGTCTCAGCCTGCTTTTGTCTTGTAGATAAGCAAAGGTTGTGCCACACTCAGGTGCCAGCCCCGCAGATGCCACTCTGAGCCCCCTTCTCTCTGGTGCAGACTCCCACTCTCCATGTTTGCTGTCCTATCTGATAATCTAGCCGCAGACGTTACTGTACAAATAAAAGCCGACAGACATGACGCACACATAGGCTCACCTCTCTGTCTCCAACTCTATGACCCTCTGTGCATTCTCTCTGCCCTTCTGAAATTAGCCCTCTCCATGCCCTCCCCCCCTCCTTCCGGAAGCTTCCTCTGCTCCTACCAATATTCTACTTCGGTAGCTTTAGCCTTTCATTCTCCAGGGCTTCTTTTCTCTGGCCAGTGATAATCAATATTTGGCTTGATATTGCAGTCGGCCACCTCTATCCTTGCTGTTCTCATTTCCCTGGTCACTTATTCTACTGTGTCTCTATTTTTTTTTTCAGCTGCTGGCAATTAAGTTCCCATCCCCATGCTACACTGAAGTGACTCTCTGGAAGGTTACTGGGGAGATCCTAAGGGCCAATCCACCAAACTCCGTTTTTCAGGCCTTGAGACCTCTAGCATTTTGCAGTGCTGCCTTGCTCTGGAAATGTGATCATCTCCTGGGAGTCCCAATGAGGTGGCCCTCTTGAGCAGTCTTCTCTGCTGCCTCTTCCTACCCTGGTAGCCCTTAGCCTTCATCCTAAACCATCGCCTCCCTTCCCTACAATTCTATCAGAGATCTTGTCTATTTTCATGGTTCCAAACTCATCTTTGAAAATCTCCAAATCTCTGTCTCTGATTCCATGTTCTTCCTTCAATTTTGATGACAAATTGGGGCAGAGGGACCTTCTGCTTTGCCCACTGGAGAGGCTTCTGGTGCCCCATGAGGCAGCCTCCTACTGTGCACCATTGCTCAATATGACTGTAAGATTACTCCCTCATTCAAAATCCTTCATGGCTCCTTTTGACTCCCAACACTGGCATTCAGGACCTCCACAGTCAAGCTCTAATGAAACTCTTTCAGCCATACGTCAACATTCTCCTGGGAAGCTCCATCTGGCAAAAGTCTGCTAACCATTGCTCAAATGCACTTTCCTGCTTTCCTGTGTGAGACCGGATGTTTTCTCCCAATAAGAGTCATCTTTTTTCCTCCTCTTTCTCCTCCTCCTCTTCTTCCTCCTTCTTCTTCTTCCTATCCTCCTCCTCCTTCTTCTATTTTTCTTCTCCTTCCCCTTCCTGTTCTCCTTCTCTCTCATTTTTCTTGCATCCAAAAGGGATCTTAAAGACCATTTCCTTTAACTCGTTTTACAAATGAGGAAGAAGACACCCAGGTTAGATGACCTGCTGTAGGTCACATAATGTTACTGATGATCTAACCATGGACCCCAGACTTAAAGGTCAATTTTCTCACTGTGGTAGCCTTCTTTTATTTAAAAAACCCATTTAGGATCTCATACACAAACTACTAAGAAGCTTTTGCCAAGCTTTTGTAAAGTGCTGAGAATCTCAAAGGTCAGAGGACTCTGCTGGCAGCTGGGTACCATGCAGGCACTATGGCAGGACAGCATTGGCAGACCCACGCGTCAGGCCCACAGCATACATGGCCCAGGTTCAGAAGTAAGAGCCCCAGGCCCTGGGAAAACATTCCCCAGGAGAACTGGTCCCGAACCAATGGGCTCTATTTCTTGATACAGAGTTCAGTGTGGGAAACCGGTGACAGCTGGTACAGGTGTTATTTTGAAGTCATACTGAGTTTCATGACCTCAGCATAAATTAGGAAAACAGAAGATGGAAACATAGCAACACAGACTGAAAACGATAGCCTAGGAAAACAAACAGATAAATGTCACTTATTTTACCTTCATGTGTGTGTGAAACAGGAAGAGTCACTTCTCTGGGTTTCTCCCTGGCCCCCACTCTCAACCTGATGACTAATCTTAAAGGCCACATGCTTGCAGTGCCGATGAAAACCCCAAACACCAACACCATCCTCACATCGCCCAAAAGAGAATGGGGGAAGATGGGTAGGAAACCACCTTACAAAAAATGTCTAACCAGAAAAATATTCTTCATTACACAAGACTCTGGTAACAAACTGTGCTTATTTGGAATTCTAGAATGCTGCTTCTAGAAAGTCACTTCTGGCTTAAAAACAACAACAACAACAACAACAACAACACAGATTATAAGAACAGGTATGGGGAGGGAGGGAACCACCCCTACCAACTCTAAAAAATAAAAAGAAAAGAAACAGTCTCATAGTGCTAGGCCTGAATAGGCACTAAAAAAGTTCTTGTTCTGATCCCCCATTCTATTCCTCCATTTTTAGTCTTAGATCTTAGCAACCCAGCAGCCTCAGTGAAAAACAAGACACGTGAGGCTAGGATGAGTCTTTATAGAATCTTGATAGTGATAAATTTATGTAGAACACTATTGCCTACATGGTTATTAAGTAAAAAACAGCATTTGACTGTAAAAGTCTATCATTATTGAGCTGGGGACATAGCTTAGTCATAGAGCACTTGCCTAGTGTGTGCAAGACCCTGGGTTTCATCACCAACACCTCAAAAAAAAACCCAAACCCAAAGTATGTCATTATTCATGAAAGGACAAAACCAGAAGAACACCCCAGAATACAGAGGGAGGGAGGCAGGAAGGAGGACAAGTGTATGAGGAAAGATAAAGAGCTTAGTAGCTTAGTACTTGCTTTATTGCATGTGAGGAAGCAATCAGGTCCTTAGTCTGACTATACGAAGGCTGCACGAGACAGTTCTAAGTGACTCAGGAGAAGCAAAGTGCTGAGAGAGAAACTGGTATGATTACTACAGGTCAAAGGTTCTCACCCAGACCTCTGGTAGCGACTGAATGAACTGTCGTTCTGATATGTGACCAGAGTTTAGAATCCCAAGTAGTAAAGTAATCAAGGGAGTAACAGAGACAGATATGTTATTCCAACATGAACAATTAAATTGTGTTTTAAATGGAGTAGGTAAGTCTTGTCCTAGAGAGGGACCTTTTAGGGAAGGTCAAGTGATAAGGTTTAGGTGAACTGAATTTATCCAAATCTTGTCTTTTTAAAATATATATATATATATATATATATATATATATATATATATACACATTCTGTTCATTTACATGCTAGTTATTTCTCTTGTCCAAACTTTGAGAAACACCAATACTTCTACATGTTATAATTCCTGAATTGAGCTGATTTTCACATGTATTACACAAAGTGATTTCAGAGCCACTTTCAAGTATCTCAAAAATGTCACTAAGTTTCTTCTTCATTTAAAACATTTTTAGGAACTGTGGTCAAATAATGGTTTCCCTATTACATTACTATTTAGTAGGAGAAAGCAAATTTCATTAGGACACTAACTTAGAGTAATTTTCTGGGTAGTGGCGCTTTGAGAGTCGTCGTTGTTGTCATAAGCAGTCTGCTTTTTGATAACACTGTACCCCAGATTAGCCATTATGTCTGGCAGAATTACCACTGGGAGTGAACTGGCCCCAAAGCAGCAGGGTGCTAGAGCTTGTAGCCTGGAGTCCTATAAAACCAGCCATTCCTGGATTAAGCTCTTTTTATCTCTTGACTATTTAATATCTTGCATATTATAATCAGTATTTCAATTCGGGGTTTGGGTCTTCAGGCAGCATTTCACAGGACACATATGTGGAAGTCAACAAATTAATGAGTATTTTTCTCTTTGGCCACCACAGGTTCTCTGAACACTGAGAGTAGATACTTATACCAGTGGTCACATTAATATGTAAGCTGATGCCACCCTATGGGTTGGCAACAAGTAGAGACAGTGGGGACGTATAACTCATGCCTAGAGAAGGGCCTTGTGGGCCGGCATGACAAAGGGGAAGCAGGAGTTATGTGACACTTTGTTCAATTTAGAAGATTTGCAAATCAATATTTCTGCCTGAGAACAAGTACACATGTTAGGGAAGAGCATGTTTGTATTTGCATCTTTGGAATTAAAGTGTTTGTCCCCCAAAAGGATATGAGTTTCTATTCTACAAAACTAACAAACAGGGTAACTGTAAACCAATGAGGTTTGGAGGCTGTTTTGAGTAGGAGGATACCCAGCTTACTGCGATCTCTCTTGGCACACACAGAGAGACTTACAAAAGTAAGTATATATCTCAGGCAGAAACCTTTTGATTTAATTCTATGAAGAAATGCTGGATAGTGGGTTAGGGTTATAGAATTACTATCAAGTTTTCTAAAAAAATCCAAAACCCAAAGCCAAGAACCAATTTTTTGTAAGAAAGGGGAAAATATGAGGATGTAGCGTCATGATTACTGTGTCTGAGTACAGAAAACACTGGCAGGATACGCCAGGGTTGGGAGTATTGGAATGGGGGTGGGGTGGGGAATAGGAATGGGAGCGAGTGTTTTTAATACCATTTTTATTATTATTTTCATTTTAATCTTAATGTGAATATGCTACCTATTCAAAAGTTTAATCTATTAAAATAACAAATTTATATAGGGTAAGAATAAAGTCAAAGAACAAATGACATAAATGAAATGTTGAGATTGGGAGGAATGTCAGTCTATCAAGACAAGCTGAAGTGTATGTGTGATTATAAATACATTTGTTAAGTGAAACTGGGTGGTGGGTATCTAGAGCTTGCTGTTCTCTTTATATCATTTTGGTAAGGTTAAAATATATCCCTGTCCAAAAAATAATAATAATAACTTGTAAAAGACACCTTCATTCCACCAAAATATTCTACTATTAAGCCAAGAAGAGGAAATTTTTACAAACATGGAAGCATGTATGGTAATCTGAACTCTTTACCTATTAATTTCATTACATGATATAATATCAGCATTTACAAATGACTAGTAATATTGATTAAATATGCACAGACATTCAAAAAATATTGTACAATATGTTGCCTGCAGTAAGATAATAAGAAAAAAGACTTCTGCTCTCAGGTTTATGCACCCCAAGCCCTGGAAACGTAACACCAGAGCTATAGTGGCTTTTCACCCTTTTTAAAAAATATTTTTGTTTTTCAGTTGTGGTTGGACACAATACCTTTATTTTTGGTGGTGCTGATGATCGAACCTAGTGCCTCGCATGTGCTAGGCGAGCGCTCTACCGCTGAGCCCCAACCCCAGCCTGGCTTTTCACCTTTAAAAAATCTTTAATCAATGTCCTCTGTTTCCCAGAGACTTTCTTCCTCTCACACTTTGTGAATTAAATCCACATCAAGCTCAGACTGAGTTGAGTCATCTACCCCAGTTAACTGAGGCCCACTGGATGACTTTGGCCTATTTCAACCCCGTAAAAAACCTGCATGACCAGGGAAGACTGTGTCCCAGTCACCAAGACAAAGATGCTCTGATGTTTGACTCAGAATCTCAGGAATATTTTAGAACCTGGGTAAATCATTAAAAGGAAACCCTTGGTAGGATGGAAAACAAAGGCTATGATCAAACTAAGCACACTCAATTTTGTGGGATTACTCAGCCCTGGAGAGTCACATCTGAATCCATGGTTCTACATTCTCTCCTGAGGATTTATACAGTAAGGGATTTTAAGGCTGGTAAACCTGGGAGTCAGACTTAGCTAGGCAAACTCTCCCTCTACATTTTTATGGTAGTGAAAATGGTAGATATGTGTCCATTGATGTTTTTAGTATCTATAAAATGTATTTCAGCAAGAGTAAACCCTATGCAACCTGTGGACTTTGGGTGATAATGACGTGTCAATGTGGGCTCACTGATCATAACAAATACACACTCCAGGCCAGGAAGCTGACAGTGGGAGAGGCTATGCTTATGTGGGGGCAGGGGCGCTTGGGAAATCTCTGTACTTTGTGTCCGATTTTGCTGGGAATCAAAAACTGTGCATGCATGCATGCGTGTGCACGTGAACTAGAACAGCCTTAAAACTCAGTTTGCTCCTGTGTTCATTGGAGGTTTCAATGGAAATGCAGCAAAGCAAAGCCCTATACAAAACCTCTCGTCCCACTGTTTCAACATCAAGAGTGCCCTGTATCAGTGACCATGAATTACCCCTTCACAAACCTGAGCTCCAATCCTGACAGTAATCCAGCAAGATTGTTGCTATCAGTTCCATTTACAAATGAGAACAACCGAGGCTTAGTAAAGAGTTTAAATATGAAGCAAATTATTTAAGGCCACACAGGCCATTTATGGTAGAACCATAATCCATATCTACATAGCCACTGTTTTCTCTGACAGTATGTGACTTTTGACATAACTTTTAGCTTTAGTAGTTTGAACATTATGAAATTAACTATAGTAACAATGGCAGCTCCGCACAAACTAATATGTGTTTGGGCATATTTAAGATCATTTATAAAGACTGTCACCTAAAAATTTTTGCTTTGGAGTGCATAAAAAGATAAATATTATATTTTCTTGCATATAAAAAAGGAACTAAAACTTAATCAAATCACAGCCTCAAAGAACTGCATAAATCTTACCACCTTCCTCAGGTTTCATGTCTAATAATTCATCCAGAGGTCCTTCAGAGAAGGGGAAAGAAAAATTATGAGTTAGTGTCATTTTATAAGGAGTCTGAGTAAAATGATTGCATTTTCCTTAATCTAGATTACCTGAACATGCATTATGTGTGGAGCTTTTGTCTAAGGCAGATAAAATACTTTTTCCTTCTTCACCTGTAAGCAAACATATGCAACTGGTCATCACCAACTCAGAATGGTATGTGTATACATGGACAACAGCAGTATTGGCAAATGCACAGCTTCAGGAAGAAATAGCACCCATAAACTCACTCATGTAGAAGCAGGGGTCCTCAGATTATGTTTTATTTCAGTTGTTGGCTCTCAATGAATATAGAATTAATCCTAAACCTCTGCTTTGTTTGGTGGATAACCCTCAAAATGATATGACACAGGCCTAACAATTCTCCTTCCATGGACAAATGTGTGACTTAAGTTAACTGGCTGTTACTTGATGCTGCCAATGAACTTTTGCCACATGGGCCTGGATAAGATAAAAAGGCAGATTGTTAAGCGAAAGAAGCCCATTTGAAAAGGCTGCACATTGTGTAAGTTCCACAATATGACATTCTGGAAAAGTCAAAACATAGAGACACTAAAAAGGTCAGTGGTTGCCAAGAGCGTGGCAGAGGGTGAGATGAATGGGTGGAACATAGGGTTTTTAGATCAGTGACAATATTTTGTATAATACTGTAAGGGTAGATACATGTCCTTTTATGTTTTTAATATCCATAAAATGTAAAACAGTGTGGAGTTATTGATTATAACAAACACTTCTTTGGTGTAGGACTTCGACAGTTGGAGAAGCTCTGCTTATGTAGGGGCAGGGGCAAATGGGAAATCTCTGTACTTTGTGTTCAATTTTGCTGTGACCCCAAAACTGCTCTAAACAATAAATTGTGTGTATGTGTGTGTGCCCGTGCACATGCAATAGAACCACCTTAGAACTCAGTTTGCTCATATGTTCATTAGACTTTCTGCAGGTCACAAAATACAAGGCAGATGCCACTTCATTATAATGAATTCCATCCTGTGTATATATAAACAAGGTGACAGACATTTGCAGTCTCAAAATATTATGCAAATACCACATGCAATTATACTGTACAAGGAATAAGAAGATTTGCATATTCTATATTTGCATATTATATATTCATACAATATGTATAGCCACATATTGTATGAATACATAATTTGTATAGATTTTTAACTTGCATACAAATATAATAAACTGGAGTTACAGTTTACCACAGAACTAAGTTTATCCTATTCTATGACCTCCAGTCCCACAATATTAATAATGCATGCTGTAGGTCCACTGAGGGTCACTGAGGCTGGAAAGCTTGGATCGATACAGACAGAGAGCCCTTCCACGGCCAGGGAGGTCAAGCCCAGCCTCTCCACCATTTGCTGCCCCCTCTCAGGCTCTAGAGTATCATTCTTCTGACCTTTGCATGGTCCTTCCTGGAGCATAGCCTCTGCCTGGGCTGTTTCTTTTGCTTTGACAAGTCTTGCGATCGTAGTTGGCTTTGGTGTGTCCCTGATCCCCTCAAATAGGTGAGGCAACTTTGTCATGTGCCCAGAGCCCTGCAGTTTTCCTTTGTAGCTCTTACCAAAGTTGTAGTTGCCCAGTTGTGTGAATATTAGGCTACCATCTGCTTCCCCTTTTGACTGTAAGCCCCGTCCTGGAGGGGCCTGATTATGTGTGGTATACCACGGTCTGCCTGGAGCCCAGTGCTGTGTCTGGCACAGAGGCAGATCCCCATATACAGCTGCCATACAAACAAAGCAGTCTGTGAGTTCTGAATATGTGAAGGCTCACACGCACGAGCAGATGACAGGAGGCCAAGCACTGGAGACCAACAGTGGGCTGCCCTTATTTTTTGATTTTTTTTCTTTCTTTTTTTTAAATCTGTTGAAAGGCAGATAGGAGACAAGCAAATGAAGGTGTGAAGTGGGGGAAGACAAATGTAGCTGAGGCAAGTGATTGGAAAACTTGAAGGAAGAGAGAAGAGAGAGGATGAAGGAGAAGAATGAAACAGAGGGAAAGTTCTAGAATCTGCTTTGCCACCTCCTGGATAGGCTGCCATAGCACAGGGTCAGGTGATTTCAGTTCTCTTCATAAAACTTGTACAACCTTCCCCTGTAGCTCTGAGGCTTTTGAGTCCCTGTTTTAAGGCTCAGAATTATATCACCTTAGTTCTACTGTGATTTCCCCTCTACGCCTTCATGAGGTGAAGAGCCAACGAAGGCTGGCAGTAATGTAGGAGACAGAAGAAGCTGGAGGCTTTTTTCTGTTCATGGTGTCACCTCCCAAAGCTCTGATGCTGTTCCCTAACCCAAGGGAGCTGGTGCCACTCACAACAGGCAGCCTGAAGACCTGCCTAACAGAGCAGAGTTGGGGCTCTCACTATCTATCCCTAATAACGGCCAACACCCACATACAAATCACGGGGGACTGGGGGACTAAACCCTCCCCCTGTAGTAATGTGACCTTGCTAAAACTATCTCTGCACCCACACGACAGTTTGAACAAGCAAAGGCAATATCATAATCATACTGTCTTCTATGGAAAGAGAGAGCTTTCTGCTAGGCCCACTTGTGGTTACAGAAGGGCTGCTGTTGGAGAGACCAAGGATACTATTTTCAGGTTCAAAATATACATTGTCTCTCAGTAATGCCATGGGGTTGATTGACACCGGTGATATTTAAACATTTAAAACTAAAACTGCACTGGGTGCCATGGCACAGGCCTGTAAGCCTAGCAACCCAGGCAGCTGAGATGGGAGGATGACAAGTTCAAGGCCAGCCTCAGTAACTTAGCCAGGTCCTGTCTCAAAATAAATAAAAAGGACTGGGGAACGTAACTCAGTGGTAAAGTACCCCTGGGTTCAATCCCAAGCATTCCCCAGCCAAAAAAAAAATCCTGAAATGGCAGGAAGCAAATCCATATAGTCTTTTCTCAATTGGAAATGAAGAAAGGCCTAGAGGGAGTTCCCCAAAAACCCCAAAAACTGAGTTGGCTGTTGAGCATTAAGTAGTGTTTGAGAACAATTCTAAATGAAAATCAATACTTACTCTTAAAACTGCAGGATTCCTTGTGTTGGTTTTCATCCTCTAATGAAATTAACCTTAAAATTTAAAGAAAAAGTTGTTTTTTTTCAGTCATCAAGTCTGGCAAATATTATAGTTATGATACAGCCAGATTTTCAGTACAATATCTTTTACCTCAATTATAACCATACACACACACATACAGACACACATATACACACATACATAGTCATTTATATGCTATATATTTTCTAAAGGAGAAATAAATTTTGCTAGCTTTGTTTTCCATTCTGTAACATCTTAATTTATGAGTTTGGTTTCCTAATAAGGCACATTTTCTGTAAATATCTAGATGGGTAATTAGGGATGACTAAGAGAGATACATACAATTATTACTTTTAAAACACAGTTAAAACAAAACAACAACAACAACAAAACTGATGGCCAAGCAGTGGTTTATTCTGATTCCTGGTGTTATGAAGAGGTCACCTCAGGAGATTAGCCAGACCACAGAAGGCTCACAACAGCACCACTCTAAATCCAGGTGGACAGGCAACTACTCAAACTCTTCCAGTGTCTTTAAGGACAGACACATTACAGTCCTGAGACCATTTTGGTTCCTCCAAATGATCCTCTTAGCACTGTGGTTCACTTTTACCTGCTATTTCTGAAAAAAATTCTTATTAAATTTCCAATCATTTTTGAGAAACCTGAAAGTAATTAAAATGAATAAAAAAATCCTAGGTAGTAGTTCTATTCTGAATAATGGCTAGTGCTTTATTTTTATTGCATTAACTTATATGGAGAAAAGAAAGTGCTGAGACTTTCTCTGCGCTCTGTCTTTTACTCCACAAGGGGCAGAGGGCAGTCCCTTAACCTCTTTCAGCCTCACCTTCCTCCTATACACACTGGGGAAAGGCCTACCTGGAGGATTAGTATGAGAATGAGCAACAAATAAAGCAGCTAGCACTGTGCCTAGCATGTAGTAGGTGCTCACCAAATAGTAGCTACCATTATTACCTTACCAGGAATAGATTTCGTCTAAAATGTCAATTGGACTAATCTAGATCATATTCTACATCTGTTTGATGATGAAAAGTTGAAATTAGTCTTTGTTTTGCACCTCAGAAATTTTCTAGTATTTGTTTTGAAATTAAAAAGAGCTAATATTGACAGCAATTATTATTTTTTCTTTTTTTTTTACAAGGACAGCAAATAATTCTATAGGATACAAAAATATGTTTGAAATCATATTCAGAGATGGAGTAAAAAATATAATCCCATTTTGCCATAAAGTTGTCACCTAAATCGTGTGTGTGTGTATGTGTGTGTGTATGTGTGTGTAAGGAATAGTGGATAGAGGCAATGTCATCTACTTAGCTTTCCTGGGTCAGCCAGTTCAGAGATTAACTATATTCCTGCAGGCTACTATATCTCCATAGAAAATGACATGGAGTCACATCTAAACCTCCTCACTGTGTGGGATCAGGAACCATGTGCCACCTATGTTGAAAAGTTCATCTGGGTATTTATAACAACAGGCGGCGCCTTGCTTGTAAAGAGGTAATAGATGGGATGGGCCCTCACTTCCTGCACAGGAAGCTGCTCTCCGTTCACAGAGGAGAAAACTGAAAGTTTGAGCAGTGAAAACAAAATGTCACAACCCAACACTTTTGTAGGGCAATGCTATGTGCATTCCTAAGGCAATCTCCTACATCATCAGCTTCAATGGGAGAAAAGCCATGGGGCCCCAGGCAGTGTGTGTGGGGTGTCCCCATCACAGCATCTTGTGAACAGTGGTGACCATGGGACCAGATAGGATACAGAAGCCAGAAAGAACATGAAGCTGAGGCTGAGGCCACAAGACAGGGAGCCAGACAGTATGTGGACATTTGCTCTTTCTTGTCCCAATCAACTCCTTACAAGTGTGCCCCTTCTGAGGACCCCAGAAATGGGTCTCTAAATGGGACAAATGAGGCAGGTCTAGCAGGAACTTGGGCTGAGGGAGCTGGGCCTCCAGGTAAAGCAGTGAGGAAGCTACATGGCTGAGACCCCGTCAGGACTGTGTGGACAAGACTGTGTCGCCCACACCGTGGGAAGAAAGGCCTCAGGAGACGGAGGGCTGACTTGACTTACTGACTCGGCTCCTGCTCTGCTGCTTCTGTGCTTTCCTGCTGGGCCATCTTCTTCTTTTCTTCTTTCTCAACTAGTTTTTTCATAGGGTCTTGTAAGCTCTGGATCACGAGCCATAGAAAAAGACAAAGAAAGAGAGGGGGAAGAAAAAAGAAGAAAGGAAAAAAGAACAAAAAGTCATCAATAGAAACCAATTGCCATTGGTCCCCGAGACCCCACATTTGAATCACAGGTACTGAGAGGTTACCATGAACCAGTCAAGTGGACAGAAATGAAATTTTATATGGCAAAGTAACAATATTTCCAGGCCCATGCAAGCAATTTTAAAGGAGAGTTGATTTGCCACTAGATTCATGTTTTCCCTTTTGTGATAAGTTATTCAAAAGAAGGCCTTTTGGCTATTGCTAACTTTATTTTCCAACTTCGACATGCAGCTAAGATAAACATTCTGTTCTCCTTCAGCCCACACACTGACAGAGTTGAAACTTCCCCTACCACTGCCACCAAAGATGAGACAACTTCATTTTATTTTTAATTTTGTTTGCTATTTTGTAATCTAAAAACTGTGTTAAAAATAGAGAAAACAAAACCCTTTTTTTTTAAAAAACCCAAAATAGTGTCTAAACATATTCTGACAACTTAACTCCCACAAATGGACAGAGCAGGTGGGCCCAGATCTTTGTAGATTAAATGGGTGAGTTTTTTTTTTCACATCATTTGTCAAAGTTACTGTTTTCAAGGTTCATTAAATATTTAAGGAACGATTCTTTTTTTTTTTTTAAAGCAAGGGCCCACAAATTGTATACTAGTGACAAAGGAGTGGGAAAGAAAAAGCAAAACATTTCTTTAACAACGGAGTAATGACTTATACAAAAAGATCTCTATTTCTGGCCCTAATTAAAATACAGACCTATGAATACAAAAGAAACATCTCGAGATGCCTAGCCTTCTTACATTCCTAGAATATAATGTCCTAATTCTTTGGGCCTTCACCTCTCTTGTTTTTCTCCTTCCTATGGTTCACATCTCCAGTGTGACAATCACAGAAGGTTCAGGCAAGTTTCACAGCCAATGCGGATGAATTAGTAATGGCTGACAGGAAGCCTGGGTGAAGAGGCTTCTAAGGCTGTGTCCAGGCAGAGCAGAGCTGTGACTGATTCTGGAGTCTGCCATGGACACCAGATGGATGTTGGTGTTATATCCTGCTAACTGCCAGCTCTGTTTTATGCCCTGTACAGAGAAATTTTCCCCAAACACTCAAGCCTTCCTGTTAACCCTTATCTGCAAGAACTTACAATAGTTCCTAATTTATTTTTACTTCTAATCTAAAAATCTCTGCCTGATTTTAAAGATCTTCTAAAACGTGACCCTATCTTCCTCTCTCAGCTGGAACCCCACTATCCACACTCTCCAACCCAATTCCAGATTTCCATTTGATTAGTCCTGTCTCCTCCTGTCACCACAGTAGGCTGGTTTCTCCCTTACTATTTTTGTTCCTCTTCGGGTCTCCTCCCTCAAAAGTCCTATGAGTCTTTTCAAAGCCCAGATCGATTACTACTATTTTCCATAAAGCTTCACTAAGCATGCCAAATTCAAGAGTCCTTCTGATTCCAAACTGCATTTACTGTCTTATTAATACTTGACCGTATCTATCTTGTATTGTTTACTCTTAAAATATTTTTTTTAATTAGAAAAATAATAAAACCATATGCAAAAAGTTTGAAAAATATAGAAAATAAAAATTACTCATATTTCATTCCTTTAAAATGATGAGTTGTTATTTTTTAGACATTTCCTTTGTTGTTTTGTACTCATCCTACTTAGATATTGGAATCACTGTTATCTATATATTTTGTAGAGGAGTAGAGGTTTATTATGTTTATTATGGTGGAGAATGTAAGATGATTATATCTCTCTGCATTTATTCACCTATATTGTAACATAGGATCAAGGTTTTCTGAGCATTTGTCCTCTGATTGGAGTTCTGAAGCATTTTCTTGCATAATGCCCATCTATAAGGCATCACTATCATTTTTAATGATGCCCTCCTTCTGGACATTTAAATTAGCACATCCATTCAACAGCTGGTTGGTGAGCACCTACCAAGTGCCAGGTGCTGTTCTGGATGTACTAGTGAAGACAGAATTCTCAGCTAGTAATAGGCGTAGGCAGATAATTAAAAGAGAGGACTAGAAAGTGACTGGATCATTACTTCAGGGAGCAGGGTTGTTCGCTCTTGGAAGAGACATTTCAACTGAGAGCTAAATGACAAGGAGACAGTCCTGTGCAGCTCAGGGATAAGAGAGGGCCCCCCAATGCAAAGGTCCAAAGGTGGGAATGGCTTAGCTTGTTTAAGGAACAAAAAGGCTGCCTCTGGGGTTGTGATGTAGTTGGCAAGGGTACAAGTGTTATGAGACCAGGATGAAGAGGCCGGCAGGGTCACACAGCGAGACATTCCTTTACTCAGAGTCATCAATATTTAACATTTGCCCCATTCGTTTCATCATATTCTTCTGCTCGATGTGTCTCTCTATAAAGAATAACTAAATGCAACCCATGATCCTTTGCTGCAGCCTGGACCAGAGGGAAAAATACTACAAAGGACAGTGTTGGAACAAATAAGACTGTGAGTATGAACTGCAGTCTAGACGGTCATGATTTTTTTATCTACTCCAGCATCAGGTAAAAGTGGGGTGTGTGTGTGCATGTATGTGTGTGTGTGCGCGCGTGCACACGCATTCTGGAAATGTGCAGTTGCAGGAGTTCATCAGACGTCAAGGACGCGCTCTTTTCAATAGATCTGCCAATCACAGCATTTTATTCACACACACATACACCCTTTACAGCAGTTTTATTCCCCACAGAATGGTCCAACTCTGGTCACAGTGAATCCAGGAATATTTTCAGCCAAGGTTCTGATGCCTCCCAGGACTCACTTTCAGATTCTGTGACACTTGCCCAGGCCTCCTGGTTTGCTCAATTATCTTCTCATTGTGTTTCCTTTTTATCAATCAACGCTAGGCAGGGCCAGGACATGTCTGCCTCAGCCGGCTGCTTCGAGCTGCCACAGCCCTTGCTTAAACCCCTGAGATGCCCTTGACAGCTCCACGGTTATCATCCCTTCTGTCTCTAGCCTGACCTCCCCTCCTGACCACACTTGAGCAGCTCTCAGACAATCCCTTTGTAATGTAAACCACTCATTCCTTCTTTTCAACCCCTTCCCCTGTTGGGCCATTAGCAGGGACTCAATTGTTGGCTCCCTGTCACCACAATCACAGTTAAGACACTATTGTGCTTCCCCAGCAGAATGGCTGCAGTTCCAATTGCTACTTTAATTTATTATTAATAATTCCTGTGACAATTGTGCCTCTCCTCCTACTCACCATTGTCCCTATAACAATTTGGCTTCTGAAGTTTGAGAGAGGTGCTAAATATATACTTGTTGGTTGATTAATTAATGTGCAAAAGGTTAAATGAAAAAAAATTAGTTCTCTTTAGCTAGGATATGTAAAGACTCAGGGGAATAATATGAAAAGTTTATAAAACCACAAGCAAAATTATTATGAGCATGTGAGCTTGTTTATTAAATATTAGAATTTTGAACCAAGGGACTCTTTTGTGCGCCCACGTCAGCTTAACCAAAATATAGATCACAAACCCCAGAATTTGGATATTTTTAAGGTGTATAAGTGAATAATGTATAGCATGTTCACAAAATTGTACAATGGTCACCATAATCAATTTTAGAACATTTTCTCTTTTTAAAGTCTTCACCATACTAATATTTATTAATGGAAATATTTATTGTTATTATAGTAAAAGCAGATAATATATCGGGAAATATCTAATACAGGAGAAGTACTTGTTTTAAAATTTGATATTTTGCAAATCATCTGTATCATTTTTTATAATTTCCATTTTTCTGTCAAAATGTTTAATTTTAGAACATTTTCAAAGGGCATCTCTTGAGGGAGTTTTCAGATCAAGCTAAGCTAAATGCTCTTCTATAGAGCAAGGAATAAAGTAACACCACATATGGAACTTGTTTCTCTCTAAAGATGGTACACATTGAAGATATAAAGAGGCTAAGTTAGGGAACTCGGAAAGATCATGGAGGACAGATCAAATCATGTCCCTTCCCCTCCCCGCAAATTAGTTCCTGGGTGTGACTGTTAGATTTGTAGGGCGCATGAATCCTCTCCCTAGTTTGACTACAAAGCCTCAACCTGGGTGAGAGGGTTGAGGTGAATCGTCAGATCAGTTTGAAGTCCGCCGCTCAGCTGAAAACATTTAACTCAACAGCATTTGTGGAAGTCAGGGGTGACAGCATTTTTCATGTGACATGAACACCTGCTCAGGCCTAGTGAGGGAAAGAGGTGTGGCAGGCTGCATGCAGATGGGGCGGCATCCGATGGAACTGTTTCCAAACGCTGGCTGAAGAAGCCACGTCTGAATACACGTCCAGAAATGAGAACTCCATTGTCTCTAAACCCCCAACCCCCTCAGTCCATCATTAAAACCGCTTGTGAAAATCACTGGTATTAGCAGCACACAACATCATACAAGACAGAAAGCTTCTTTGCAGAGGAAAGAATGTTCTAAGACTAAGTAACTTGCTCTGTTAGGGCTGCCCCAACATGCTAATAGTTTCCATCAAGGCTTAAATGGCTTTGGAAAGCACACACACAATATGTAAGACCATCATGGCAGAGGAAATAAGCAGACCCAGCTTGCAACAGCGTCTTGGAAAGGAAACAGCTTAATAGAATAATGGGAGTTACTACTTCCTGTATTAGGAAAATAAAAGCAACAACAACATTCATTTGAATGGATGCAAAACTACTGAGCAAAACAAATTTCCCAGACAAAAGACCAGCAGCCAGTTCTAATAATCTAAATTTAAAGTCTCACTTAGAGGATTGAGTAGCGTTTCCTCTGATCTTTAATTATGACAACTTAATTTCCTTATTCTACTTTCCATTAATTACACTGTGTGAATAGGAAGGTGTCAAATAATTGTCAATATAAGGAAATAAAAGTATTCAGAATGGCGGGGCATGGTTAAAAGACGCTGAACACAGCTGGGTGTGTGTATGTTTAT